GCTACTCGGGAGGCCTGTTGAGGCCAGCTCGGGCTACCTGGGAGGAGCTGTCTGTGCTCAGCCCGAAGCTTTCCCGGGAGGGGGGCGTCCCTGCGAGGACGCGCGCCGCGCGGTCCGCCGTGTCCGGGACTACTTCCCCGTGTCCTTCACGCGCTGGGCGCTGTTCGGGGCGCTGGAGGTCAGCATCGTTGAACCTTTCCCCGTCCCCACTGGGCCATGGTATCTCAGCCTCACCATTCCGCCACCCCTGTTGGGGATAGGCTCTCGAAACCCGAGGGAAGCACACCTGGGGGGGGTAAATCGGCCAGTGGTGCCCAGGCAACGCTAGTGGGGGTAGGGATCGGTTAAACGATGCTGAGAGGCGGCCCTGGACTCCAACGCGCGGCTGCTGACCGCGAGCTACGAGCTGGCCACCAACTTCGGGCTCGCCGCGGGCGCCGAGGCCTCCCCCGGGCGGCGGGAAACATATATCTACATTATATATGTGCATATGTATATATCTTTTAAATGTGTACATGTCTACAGGGATATATGTAACAAGGATTTGTAGGTGTATGTATATGTCGACGTCACAGTGTATTTATATGTTTCTGCAAGTGTATACGCATACGTATACACATATTTTTCACATGTATAGGAATGTGTGTAGGTATATGTGGATATCTATGTTTATGTATATGTTTATGTCTTTGCACATTTGAATGTACACGTATACATAAACGTACCTATATGCATACGTGTACGTACAGTATAAGTGTAGGTATATGTTTACATAGACAGAGAGACATGTGTTTATATTCGTAGGTCTATATGTATAGTTCGATTCCTATGCCTATGCTCATGTCAATGTCATTGTCTATGCTATGCCTATGTGCCCTCTTGGGGGCCTCTTGGACCGTCTTGGGGCGGTCTTGGGGGCCTCTGGGGCCATCTTGGAGCGTCGGAAGCTCGAAAACGCGTGAACGCGAATCAATGATTCTTGCCCCTCTGGGCCCTCTTAGGGGTCCTCTTGGAGCGCTCTTGGGGTTTCTTTGGGGCCTCTTGGGCCGTCTTGGGGCCATTTTGGGCGTCTTGGAGCGCTCTTGGGCTGTCTTGGAGGCTTCTTGGACCGTCTTGGGCGCTTTCTGGGACCCTCTTGGCCCGTCTTGGGGCCTTGTGGCTTCAGGAAAAGTCATACGGGGCAGCCCAAGAGCGCGCGGCGTTTCCGGCCCAGCCACTAGAATACTATAATCCCAGAGTCCTGAAAACAGAGAACAGAGGGCACGTGAGGACCTGGAGAAAACTTCACTTTGCGCCTCGCGGCACGGTGGCATATATATATATATATACACATACATGCACGTATGCTTAAACACATGTATGTCTGAATGTATACATGCATTTACATATGTACATTATGCATCAGTGTATGTTTGTCTGTCTGTCTGTCTGTCTGTCTGTCCGTCTGTCCGTCCGTCCGTCCGTCCGTCCGTCCGTCCGTCCGTCCGTCCGTATGTATGTATGTATGTATGTATGTATGTATGTAGGTATGTAGGTCTGTCTGTCTGTCTGTCTGTCTGTCTGTATGCATGTCTGTATGTATGTATGTATGTATGTATGTATGTATGTATGTATGTATGTATGTATGTATGTATGTATGTATGTATGTATGTATGTATGTATGTATGTATGTATGTATGTATGTATGTATGTATGTATGTATGTAATGTATGTATGTATGTATGTATGTATGCATGCATGCATGCATGTATGTATGTATGTATGTATGCATGCATGCATGCATGCATGCATGCATGCATGCATGTACGTATGTATGTATGTATGTATGTATGTATGTATGTATGGTCGCACCCCCCCCCAAGATCCCCATGTTGCTTCCTCCTCCTCTCCCTCCTCCTCCTCCTCCCTTCTCCTTTCAGCTTCCTCCTCCTTCTCTCGTTTTCCTCCTCTTCCGCAGGCGGAGCGTTTTTTTCCTTTTTTTCCTCCTCCCGCCCTCGGAGGCAATGTTTTTTTCCTCTTTTTCCATGTGAAAACACAGGTTTTTCCCTATTTTTCCGTTTTTTCCTCTTTTTCGGTCTTTCCCCTGGGGCGGCGGAAAAATCTGGAGGGCCCGAACGAGGCAGGGAAAAGAGGAAAAAAAGGAAAAATAGGAAAAAACTTGTGTTTTCACAGGGAAAAAGAGGAACAAATCTCCGCGCCCCAAGGCCGGAGGAGGAAAAAGAGGAAAAATCCGTCTCTCCCTGTTCCTCCTCGTCGTCCTCCTCCTCCTCCTCCTCCTCCCCGTCGTCGTCGTCGTCCTCCTCCTCCTCCTCCTCCGTCCATCTCCCTTTCCTCCTCTTCCGCAGGCGGAAAGTTTTTTCCTTTTTTTCCTCCTCCCGCCCTCGGAGGCAGAGTTTTTTTCTTTTTTTTCCCTGTGAAAACACAGGTTTTTCCCTATTTTTCCTTTTTTTCCTCTTTTCCCTGCCTCGTTCGGTCCTCCGAATTTCTCCGCCGTCCCAGGGGAAAGACCGAAAAAGAGGAAAAAAAGGAAAAATAAGGAAGAAACTGTGTTTTCACAGGGAAAAAAAGGAAAAAACTCTGCCTCCGAAAGCGGGAGGAGGAAAACAAAGAAAAAAAAAGTTCCGCCAGCGGAAGAGGAGGAACACAAGGGAGGGAGGAGGGGGAGGAGAAGGAGGAGGAAAAGCGGCAGAGCAGGGGAGCGTGGAGGAGAGGAGGGAAGTTTTTTTTTCAATCGCTTCGGCGAGTTCGAGAACGAACAAAGCAGCTGCAGGCTGGGTCGGAACCCCCAACGTGCAACAAGGACGAACCATATCGAATGGCTGAAATACACCCCTCGTGGAATCTGCATGGCACCTCTTAGACATCTACATAGCATAGTCAACGAACACGGAGAGGGAGGGAGGAGGAGAGAGAGGGAGAAACAGGAAACGCTTTGATCCCAACGGCCCTGGATTAATCCAGCGGGGGGAGGAGCTGCTCCAAACTATAACAACATCTATATTCCTTGATATATTTTGCTGTTCCTAGCTATTGCTACATCTTCCGAGCTCTTCTCAAGAGCTCCTTCCTATTTGGTTTTGCGCCTCCGGACCCCTTTTTCGTGACCACCGCGTTCGTTTCTAGGCAGAAGAATCTCAGCTTTGATCCCAACGGCCCTGGATTAATCCAGCGGGGGGAGGAGCTGTTCCAAACTATAACAACATCTATATTCCTTGATATGTTTTGCTGTTACTAGCTATTGCTACATCTTCCGAGCTCTTCTCAAGAGCTCCTTCCTATTTAGTTTTGCGCCTCCGGACCCCTTTTTCGTGACCACCGCGTTCGTTTCTAGGCAGAAGCAATCTCACTCGGAATCCGAGCTGTCTGCCCAATGCTGGGACATGCGCTCGATATACATCTTGAGGTCCTCGTTCTCCTTGGTGAGGCGGCAGCACTCTGCCTCGTGCATCTTGAGCTCCTTGTTCTCCTTGGTGAGGCGGCAGCACTCTGCCTCGGCATCCGCGCACCTGGCGAACAGTTCCTCGAACTCGTCCATCGGGACCCCACCCTCCGCGTAGTTCTCGTGCTCCGAGCCGCCCTCGCCCTTTGAGCTGTCCTCCGAGCCCTTGCCCTCGCCCTCGGTGTCCTCCGAGCCCTTGTCCTCGGCCCCCTCGGTGTCCTCCGAGCCCTTGTCCTCGTCCTCCGAGGTGTTCTCAGAGTCGCTGTCCTTGTCCTTCGAGCTCTCCTCGCCCTCCTCCTCCTCGTCCTCGCCCTCGTCCTTCTTCGAGCCGTCGTTCTCGCCACCCTCATTGTCGCCCTTGCCGCCCTCGTCGTCGCCCTCGCCGCCCTCGTCGCCCACGACGCCGTCCATGAGTACCAGGGCGGGGGGCGCCTCACGTGCAGGGGGGCCGTCAGGGACCTTTCCCTTTTGCCTGCGCTTGTTGAGCCAGGCGACGAGCTTGTTCTGGGCTGCTTCACTCCATTGGCCTTCCTGGCGGCGCTGCATTCCGCAAGACGCCTGTATGTAATTCATCCGGTTGTTCACCTCCTTCAGTAAGAGGTCGGTCTTCGACGGGTGCACGGTCAAGCGCCCTGCGTTCACGTCACCAATAACATCCACAGCGCGCGGGCGGACGCGGTCCGCGATCGGCACGGGGGCAACGGGCGGCCCCGAAGGGGCAGCCGGCTCCAAGAGGCGGATGATGTCAGCAGCTGCCGAGCCCGAGGGTTCTGACGGATTGCCAACGCTCAAATCCAGGCGCGCCCGTTTACCATCACGGGTCAACACAACACGACCAGATACCGCAATCGAGGTGTTCATACCTGCTGTAAGACTTCGACACAAATCTTCGGATCAGCCCGCGCGGGGGCAACTTGAGCCGATGATGGCTACGGACAGGGTGGAGCGAGTAGGAGGAGGGGGGGGGGAGAAGTTGAAGGCGGAGGAGGAGTAGGAAAAGGGGAATCGCCTGGAGCCATGAGGACATCCGCGGCCCCAGAGGTCCACACCCTTTTCCTTGGGATGGTTTTTCGCTCTGGGTCGTTTTTGATGGTTCTGGGGCCCGAAAACGGTCCCTGGACGCCGAAACGGATTGGCGGAAGGGCACCGAGTGTGCTTCCCCTCTCTAGGAGGAGGGAAGGGAGGAGGGAGGAAGGAGAGGTGGATTAAACCGCCGAGCCCTGGATTAATCCAGGAAGTACAGAAACATAAAGATAGGACAGGGATGAGAACGAGGAGGAGGAGGAGGAAGACCAGAGAGATATGAATAGAGCAAAAGGAGGAGAAAGTATGAGGGGAGAGGATGGGGGGGGGAAAATAGGAGCACGCGCACGCGCACGCGCACGCGCACGCGCACGCGCACGCGCACGCGCACGCGCACGTATGTATGTATGCGCACATTTTTTTTTTTTTTTTTTTTTTTTTTTTTTTTTTTTTTTTTTTTTTTTTCTCTCTCTCTCTCTCTCTCTTCCCCTCTCACTCTTTCCGCGCCCGTGCCGTGGTGGTCCGGGGCCCAGGCGCGATGCCGTGGATGCGCGCGGTGTCGTGGATGCGCCCCGTGCGGGGCGCGTCCTCGCGGAGCCGCCCCGGCGTCCTCGGGGTCGAGGCCGAGGCGTCTACGGACCGTGAGCTGTCCGTCTGCTGCCGTCTGTCTTCCCTCTGCCGCGGGGCACCCCGTGCGCCTGAAGAAAGAGAGAGAGAGAGAGAGAGAGAGAGAGAGAGCCCGACGTGCCCCCAGCCGCTTGTCTTGGGGCCCTTCCCGGGGCCCATGTGACGGATTTGATCGACTCCAGTTCGACTCTGGTTCGACTCTGGCTCGACCCCATCTCGGCTCAAGTCGCCGCACGCTCGACACAGCATCGACGCATGAGCGGGAGCGAGTGGCTCCAGGAAGGCCCCTAGAACGAGCACCTAACTCCCTATCCGGCCTCGCGAGAAAATGCATCGAGCCCCAGACCCCATCCGTCCGTGGCTTTCTGCGAGCCCGACCGGTCTGCCATGGCCCCCGGGGCCCGAAGCCGGGCAGGCAGGCCTGGCGTGAACATCCTTCTCCTCCTCCAGCTTGGCGTCGTCGTCGACAGCGGCGCCACGCAGGCAGCAGTGCCGCTGCGCGCGGATGTGCTGACGTTGGGGCTGGGTCTCCGGGTGCCGGGGCCGCTCGTGCGATCTGCGGCCCATGCTGGCGGCCGCGTTCTCGGCGGCAGCGCCCGGATCTCGGGGGTGCCCCCCGCCCGCGAGAGGTCGCCCAGCGGGCGCCCGCCGGCATCTACGACGAGCTGTGGGAGCTGGACGAGGGCAGGTGCGCCCGCCGCTGGGGGCGACGACGAGGGCGACGGCGGCGACGGCGGCGACGGCGGCGACGACGACGACGACGGCGGCGACGACGACGACGACGACGACGACGACGACGACGACGACGACGACGACGACGACGAGGTCCGTGCCCACCGCCTCGCGGCCGTGCCCCGCCCCCTCCCCGTGTCTTCCTCGAGGGGCCCCTCTCGGGGGGCGGCGGGGGGTGCGGAGGCCTGCCCGCCGCCCTGGGCGGCGGGTGCACAGATCTCCGAGGCCTCGTTTGGCACAGATTTCGATTTCGATTTCGGCCTTCGATTTCGATTTCGGCACAGATCTCTTGGGGCCGTTTGGCATCGATCTCGGCCTCCTGGGGGCGGGCTGGGGGGCGGATCGGGCCGGACGAGAGGTGGCCCGAGGGCAGCGGTGTGGCGTCGTCAGTGGCTGCCGCCAGGTGGGGGGGCAACGATGAGGCAGATCGGATGATGGTGGGGATCGTGATGACATGGATCTCCGACGGTACGATTCTGTTCAGTCCCAGCGAGAGTTTCCTTGATTTCAGCCGTCGGAGGCATTTTCGGGCGCCTGGACCATCAACAACGGATCCGGGACTAAAAACACCCCCCAGGGAAGCGGTCGAGAGCCCTGGGGTCGAGTATCGAAGAAAGCACACTGGCGGATGTCAGGGAGAGTACGCCAGGCTCTTGTCGTGTCGAGGCGGTGGCTGAGCGCGGGCAGTCGAGGCTGAACGCCGCCAGTGGCCCAGTGTCGACGGACATCGGGCGATCTGCGCTGCCAGACAGCCGCGATCGTTCGGGACTGGACGACCCATGTGCGGTGTCAGAAGCCAACGCGCAGGTCGTCACGACACGAACATGCTGCATCCCTGGACATCCGCTTTTTTTCACAACGTGGCTCCCCGGAGGTCTGGACCCTTTTCCTGGGACCCGCTTTTCATGCTGAGTCGTGTTTTGACGGCACGGGGCATCGAGAACGACCAAATTGTCCAGCAAATCCGTCGTGATTTTGTGAGGGCTTTTGGTTTTCTGGTCATACGTCGGGCCCTGGGGCCCGCAAACCTCCGCAAACCTTGCGCCACTATTTTTCCACGACGCAGGGATGGCACATTTCGGGGTCAAGAGTCAATCCCTAGATTTGGAGTGCGTTCTCGCCAGAATTGCAAGGCGGATCCAGCCGGTGGCGACGAGGAGCCCCCCTGGGAGGCTCAAAAAGGGTGGAACAGGCCGTTCAGTTCGACCCTCGAACCTCGATCGTCAACCTTTCGACGCTCGAGGCTCGAGAGGCTGCCGCTCCCGTCGTGCTGCTGGGATCCTGGGCAGCCGCGTGGACGCGGGTGCTCTTCGGGGGCCCCCCAGCGGTGTGGTGACCACCGCGTGGTGAGCCAGCGGGGACTTCGCGATTTTGGGGCCGGGGTCGTTCCGCGGATGTCGAGGGCCACTGGGGCCTCCAGGGTCCCGCGGTGGTGCGGCGCCGGGCCGCGCGGTGAGGCAGGACCGTTGTCGATCCGGTCGATCCGACTCTCTCTCTCTCTCTCTCTCTCTCTCTCTATATATATATATATATATATATATATATATATAAGGATTCTGGCCGATCCGATCCGATTCGATCATGGGATTCTGGCGATCCGATGCGGCGGGATGTTTGCATGACGCTGTCGGGCATCCTGGCGCAGTCGATCCAATTCGATGCCGGCTCCGTGCCGACGCGGCCCGAGCCGACGCACGTGCCGATCCGATCCGAGTTCCCGGTTCGATGCTGACGGATCCTGCGGTGGGGTCGTCGGGGATGGCGAGGTCACACTGCGAGCCCTTACCCGGCCACCCACCACCTGGCCACGACACCCCCATCCCTTCAGCCCCGCTTCTTAGGGCCCCCCACCCGACCGCTGTCGGCGCGGAGCCCACCCTGGCCCCCCGCTTGGCCACCGCCTCGCCACCGCCTGACCACCAGGCCATGGCCCCCCCCCACCACTCCGGACCCTGTCAGGGCCCCCCCTCGACACTTTTCAGCCTGGAACGCACCCCGACCCCGACCCTCGACTGCACGTAAGAGTGGCCCTTCGCAGGAGTGACTGGTGGTGCGGGCTCACCACGGCCCCCCGGTGCGGTTGTGGCTGCTTGCGCGCTCAGGTGTGGCCACCTTGCTCCCCCTTCCTCCGCGCGCCCTGGAGGTCACTCTTGCCCAGGGCCTCTCTTGCGTGTAGCCGATGCCTGGCCGCACCACGCGGTCCGCCACCAGACGGCGTTGGGACCCCCAGAGCTCCCCCCTCAGCGGCGCGCCAGGTGCTCCGTGAGCGGGCGCGTGCGGCTGCGGGGTCTCAAGGAGGGCGCCGCCGGCACGAAGGCGCCGTGGGCTTCCCGCACACCCAGCCGTGGGGGTGGCTCGAGGGGCCCCGACACCCGCGCGCCGTGAAGACGTCGCGACGGAAGGCCTCTGCCGCCGCGACTACTTACACACAGACGCCCTGCAAGGGATTGCTCCTGGGCCTCAGCGGCGGGCTGCGGCGTGTAGACCACCACCGAGGGCCAGCGACCTTCCGCACCGCCGCCCTCCCATGGAGGTACAGGCAGACGTCGTCGGCGGGTGTCTGTGTGTCTAGTTTCGCGGCGTACTCTTGGCCGTGCTTGCCCTCCGGGGCCCTCGCCAAGCCCCGGGACCGGCAACACAGCGGCTCAGGATGGAAAGCCGGCCGCCCGGTCCGGACCTGTGGGGAGCCACGTCGTGACAAGATCACGGCGTCGGATGTCTGGGGAGGGGGGCGGCCGTCTCAGAGGGCGGGGGGGCCTTTTTCGGAATGCAGGGGCCCTCCCGGAGGGCCCAGCTGCTTCCAAGCATGCTCTTCGCAGCTTCAGGGAGGGCCTCGGGGAGGCCCCACCCGGGCCTTCCCGTATGCCCACCCCCCGCCCTTTTGAATACGAGCGCCCCCCCCCCGCGCGCCCCCCCCCTTCCCTGATTTTCGTGGAGGGCGAACAATCAGCGCCAGGAACCCGAGACCTAAATTTCAGTCGAGAGATATTAAGCAGTCCAGATAGGTCTGCAGGTCTGCAGGGCCATTGGGAAGGCCTTCCGACCTGTGCCGCTGACCCTGAAGGGGGGCGACGACGATGACGGTGTCGGCGGCGGCGGCGGCGGCGACGACGACGCTGACGTGCGTCAGAGTCCTCAGGGATGCTTCTTGGCGTCTCTTCGCAGCGCTTAGGAGGGCAGTTTTTGGGCCTCTCGGGAGCAACTTGGGGACATTTTGGGGGCCTCTTTAGGTCTACATGTCTGGAGGGCTATTGTTAGCCACTCTGGAAGATCAGGATCGGTGCGCGCCGCCACGAGGCGGCCTCGCTGGTCTCCTTGGAGTGGGAGGACCCTGCCGCCGCCGTGCTCACGGACGAGCAGGGCGAGGCCCCCGCCGACGGCGACGCGGCACCCCGGCCGCTGTTCTCGTACGTCGCGCCGCAGATACTCGCCCAG